ACCCGGTGCACACCTCTTGTCCCATCCATGCGCGCTACATGCCCAGCCCATCTCATTCTTCTCGACTTAATCACCCTCACAATACTGGGGGAGGAGTACAGATTTTTAAGCTCGTCATTATGCAGTTTTCTCCACGCCCCATCGTCTTCTCTCCTAGGCCCAAATATCCTCCTCAACACCCGATTCTCAAACACCTGCAATCTGTGTTCCTCCCTCAGAGTGAGAGACCATGTTTCACACCCATACAAAACAACAGGCAAGATTATTGTTTTGTGTACTTTAATCTTTGGGTTCTTAGAAATCTGATGGGACGACGAAATATTTTGAACTGAGAAGTAGCGAGCATTTCCGGAATTTAATCTCTCTTAATTTCCTCGTGACTATCATTTCGATTTCTTATTGAAGTTCTCAAATACAGTAGATTCCGGTTAATCGGGGCATCCATTTATTTGGGACAAATCTTAAAGAAGAAACCTTTTTAACTCTTTTACGTGGAACTTCGCATAATTGGGTCAAAGTGCTCTAGTCCCGATGTGTCCCAATTAACCAAAATCCACTGTATTTGAACTTCTTCACACTTTTAAAGGATCAGTTTTATGTTTTATTTAACTTATCTTATAGTTCGTTCTTCTAAATCCCAGTGATTGCCCTTGGAAGACTTTCATCTGTTGATTAATTGCATTTGTCATTTTGGTTGAAGGCCAGTTTTCTCATACACGTAACAACGAGTACGTGATATATTCCTCGTTACAGTATTCGTACTGACAATCATCCAAGTCAGAAATTATATTTATCTTCAATAATTGAACATTGTTTGCTAATCTGGTACGCGGTTTCGTAAGCGAAGAATTTGTCCCAGACTACAGAACACTTTTAAACTGTTCTTTCGTAATATTCTGTCAGGAAATTCTATAGACTCAGATGGATGAAACTTGTTATTACGTGATTACATGTGTAATTGTTGAAAGTAAATCCGATTACAATGTTTGTACCATATTATGGATCTCGACAAATGTTTACAAACATTAACATTAACATTAACAGTCTGTTCCATTGTCGTTCTTGTCAATTATCTGTCCGTCCAATTCACTGGGTCAGAGTTCAAGAACAAATTCACAAAGATAAGAAGAAATTGGATGTCAGTGACTCCATAGATTGACGCATTACCCTAATAGATATGTGGGCGGGCAGATTGACGGATGGACGGACTGATGGGAGAATTAATGGCTGAATGTGGGTAGGTGAATACATTGACGGATAGATGGCGAATTAGTGTGTGTGATTGGTTGCGCTATGGATGGCGGACAGCTGGAAATTTCGATGGAGACAAAACTACGTTATCGAATAATTTTAATCTGTCGATTAATCCCAAATTGAATTTACCAAAAAACGTTTAGGGGTAAAAATAGAAAGAATCACGATTAAGGCTTTGGCCGGGATGTTCTTTTGTTAAATCTTATGTGGTACCGCCTGATTCGACTTCTAATGGTTAAGTGAAGTGTTTTCTTCGCGGTACGGTCTG